TTTATTTTAGAAATTATATTATATTTCCAACTATGGGCCTTAATTTCTAATAGATTCAACAGAGAATAAAAAGAATAACTTCAGTTACTTAAAGTAAAAAATCATATTTATTAGTCTTCTAAAAAGCACGATCCAATTCCTAAATGTGTATACATTATGATTATAGATTGTAGACTCGAATAATTCACGATGTCAAAGCATGGATCACCGACAAATAATTCCCAAACAGATAAAAGTGACCCTAGCTCACATGCTCTTCTACCTCATTGTCTCTTAAGAAATTAGTATAATATATAATTTGTATAAAATATTATCATCGCAATTTCTAAATTGATTCGAACGTACCATTTCCGTACTTTCAGCAACGTGAGAAAACGCGTTTTTTCTTCCCAAACAACCGGAAACCGTTTTATCTCAATTAAAGCGCTTTCTACATTCAGCAGACAACATTAATCACCGACATAAACGCGTACGTACTTTAGTACTATAGTTGTGAGAAATCATGCAGTCACAGAGTTGCTAGGGTTCTATAAATGGATGCCCAAAACTTTAGTTTTCTTTGCACCAAGCTCGTTAGATTTTCATCAATATCAGATAATTTTGTTAATTTGCAAGAATATTATGAATAGGGTGATGGTAACTATGGGTATACATTTTTCTATTTGGAAATTTATTTCAATAATAATTTTTGTTGTTTTGAAGGGCATTAATGGGCAGAATAGTCGGTGGATTAAAGCTCGCGCGACTTATTATGGCGGGAATCAAAATCCGAGCACCCTTGGTAAGAACATAAGTTATGTGATGAGACGGTCTAACAGTTAGGCGAATCGATATCATAATATATTTAATAAAAGCAATGATGTGTCCTACTTTTGTTATATTGTTTTTTAAAATATAAAAAAATGTATTTCATTAATGATTAAATCTGCCTAACAACAACATTATATTGCGGTAAGAATGGTTTTCATTTGCCCCAGTTTAGGATATTTACATATTATAATGTAATGTTGTTTTTCACTTAATATTACAGACACACATTATATATAGATATATGTAGTATGCAATTTTATGCTACAACTCGTATTACATATGCGAATTCCACATTTACTAATAGCATATACATGCTTAACAACATCCTTGTTAAGAACCCAATTGGAGTTGTTACACTATGGAGTATATCTAACGGTTACGCTGATCGAGACTCATTCGCATTTTTTTCTACATTAAAACGCATACTTATACTATAAAATGACCCAACTTGTTGATATTAATATTTTTCCATAAAGTACATTTCAGTATAAAGATATACATATCTGTTGAAAATTTATAATATTGTCCAAAACACTAATTTCGTGGTAAAGATAGGTTTTTATAATGTGATTTTGTGTTCTATTTAATAATCTTTTTTTCTTCTCCTAAGCCAATAGAATAGGATTTTCTCTAGAAATATAAATATAAGTATATGTTATGCAATTTTTTTGTACATATCATGTGAAATTCATATTCAGTCCAATATAATATGTAAATCGATCGTGAGTTTCTCTTTCCACAATCACTTCACATAGTAAAAACTACCAAAATATAATACACTACAAAGGGCCCGGGTACTAATTATATTCGGTTCTAACTCAAATGCAATTCAAATCACTCAATGTAATTAATATAATTAAATAATACTAATCAATCATCTTCACACCTCACGTTAATTTTAATTTGTTATCCATCTACATACATATTTTTTAACTATCTATCATTTTCACTATTCTTTCTCTTAATTTTACATATCACACAACTTTAATCATTACATTTTAAAAATTATTTAAATACAAACTCAAAATTTTCACTCAATCCTACACTCAGTCAACTTTACTCAAAATTAAACTCAATTTAACCAATAAATTCAATCATAACCGGTTTTATCTATATCCAATCACACACAACATAACTCTCAATCCCAAAAATACATACAATTTTGGAAACCATTTAATTTATCATACATAACCATAATAAAACCCATATTATTATTATTATTATTATTATTATTATTATTATTATTATTATTATTATTATTATTATTATTNACAGCTACCACGCCGGATTTGGAGTCCACACGACGGCCGTAAGCGCCGCCCTTTTTAGAGGTGGCGAGGCTTGTGGGGCTTGCTATCAAGTCGCGTGCAACCGGAGGCTCGACAGGCGGTGGTGCCTTCGACAGGGCATCGTCACAGTCACCGCCACCAACTTTTGCCCGTCTAACCACCAAGGCGGGTGGTGCGACCCGCCACGCCACCACTTTGACATGTCGGCTCCGGCGTTCTTCCGCATCGCGAGACGAGGCAATGAAGGCATTGTACCCGTAATGTATAGAAGGTGATGACGATGATCTTGAAGGCACAAAATTATTATTAATGATTCTTTATTGTTAACTTAGCAGTGACTTGATTTTTATAGTCAAGTAACGAATGCAAAGATAAAATATAGTCACTTTTTGTGTACGTATGAAATAATAGTCATTTTGACACACAATTACTCTTACTACTAGAAACCGTTTCTAAAAGTCTGGGATTGTGTCTAGAAATTATTTCTGAAATCTCGGATTTTTGGAAACGATTTTTAATAGTAAGGTAATTGTGGCTATTATTTTATCTTTTTACAAAATGATAAGGCTATTTACTAATATTATCACTTAATTTAATTTTCTAATAAGAAATATAAATATTTCACATGTTCTACCACATTAGTCTCTATGGCTATGCTTCCCAAAGAAAGAACAATTAAAGTATATTCTTCGCTCATTAGTAACAATTT